ATGATAGGAAACAGGAAGTGTAACGTTGCTGACCGTTATTGATTAGTTTTGCTTTTGGTGGGGATATGATGGTATTATTCTTATCACCACAGAGTTCCCGAATGTAATGATGGTGGGTTTAGATTTATATTTGTTCATGTATTGGAAAATAAAGAACGCCGATTCAGCTGCTAAGTTCTGTGTACCAATCCTTACACTAATATCGAAAAGCAAAACGCATAAACAGCAAAGACATTTTAAAAACGTGTCGATTCCAATGACTGTAGAAACAGCTAATGACTGTAGAATTCCCGGGCGAGTTCTGAAGAGCTCTCCCAGACTTACCCTATCATCTCCCAAGTTGAACTTCAATTTTTATGCTATAGTTGATTACACGTTAAAATAAGCAGGCCGATTTACATGTTATCAGTTTTTTTAAACGTGCGCCAGTAGGTGTACGTGCATTATCAGCAAAATAGTTTAAAACCGAAAAAAATCTTTAAAATGTCAGGATTCTACAGCGAGTTCCGAAGAGTGACGATCTGCCACAGTATTAACTTTGCTTACCTTTACACAGACAGATCATAATTTAAAGTACATCGTTAGTGCTGGAAACTTGTGCTGGAAATTTGCTAATAGCAAACTATTAGCAAATTATGTTATAAGTGAAGAAATCTTAAAAACACCATTGTTTTCATGCGAGTTCGGAAGCCCTTTAATTTTTAACCATCAAGTATATTGCACCGACTTTGTCTGGTGGAATATTTTACGAATACAGTTACCTTTTGTATCATTAATGTTAACTTAAAATAGGAACAAATAATAATAATAATTGTTTATCAAACACAACTTCCAAAATCAGAGCACTTGTCCCAGATTAAATACACCCGAAATGCCCCAGCACCGTTTCACCGCCAGTTCATATTCCATTTGAATGTAGTACCACTGGCTTTTTACAAGTATAAATAGCTCGTCTTTAATCCTTTTTATCTATTCAAAGTGCTGATGTACCCAAAAAGTGACCGTATAAATATACAAATAGACTGTGAAGGCTACATAACACCCTAACTAGTTAAGTAATAGTCTTAATTGAATTGTTTCTAACCATATATCGATTTTAAACGCAGTGACAAAAGACAACGCTTCCAGTCCGCACTGTTGAAAAATCTGTATTTATTAATGATTTACAAAAGGCTAAACATGAAACCATTTAAATGATTCAGTTCATTTTGAAACCTAAAAAGGAGAAGTTGGTGTTGTTGCTGTGTTTGTTTGTTTGTATGTGTGGGGAGCATCTTGTAGTGTTTTTACAGGTCAGTTATTATAACAGCGTCTTTATCTCGTCATGTCTTATCAGAGGCTCCTGTTGAGAAAAAATATATAAGTCTACACACAGGATGGAGTCAAACAAACAAACTGCAGGAGAGGGAGAGAGAGATACATCTGAAACGTCACAAGTTTGGGGGAGGGGGTTGGAAGTGCGCTTCATTTCTACATCAGCAGTGGCGGTGAGTGATTTTTTGAGACTGCACTTGTGTGTTGTGTTGCATTGTGTATATTTGTACAATTGGGTCATGTTGTGAAACACCTGGCTCCCTCCGACTACAGCTGGTGTAAAAACAGAACACTTCTCTGTCTCTAAAGCAGAAAAAACCCACAGATTATTAATATTATTGTTATTCTTATCACCACAGAGTTCCCGAATGTAATCTCAGAACAGTTTGCAGATACATATTTAATAATAAAACAAGTCGTTGTGCAAGTTTTTCCACAAGGTTTGAAATAAATATCTGTAAAGCAAATAAGCACTTAAAGAGTAGCTGCATTTTTTTTCCTTTTTGTTATATTATTGTCAATATTAATATTACTGTGAAAACCAACATTAATCACATTGTGGGTGAACAAAACAAGTTCCTTTTTCCGACTTGAATTTAGGGCAAAAAATTCATCTCACACGACTACTCGGGTTAAAAGGAAATAAAAGTAGAAGTCAGGAAGGGGAGAAACATATAAAAATGTGACTCTGGTGGCAGCGAAGAGGAGGGGTTGGGGTGTGGGCTGTTAAATCACATTAGTTTTGCAGATTTTTAAAATTTTTTTTTAAAGTTTCCTGGCAGATTTCTACAGTAGTAAAAGAGTGAGTGGACCCGAGTATTTACAGTAATGTTGTGCACTTAAAAGATCCTTCCTGAAGAACCTTTTCAGAGTTTTTCTAAAATAAAATCACAGAAAAAAAAAAAGAAGAAAAAAAAAAGATGTCCCACACTTTCTCGCTATAGAATGAAATAACAGTGTTTCCACTCGCTGAGAATTTAATTAAAAAACAAAATAAAAAAATAAAATAAAAAGGTGTGGAGCTCAACGTGGGCGTTCCTGCTGGCAAGGAGGGATTAAAAGATTGAAAAACAACATGATACAGAAAATAGAGCATAAAATAAAACTGTAAAACTGTTCAAATTTCACTTAGCTATGAAAAAAAAGAGAATAAACCTCTCTCTACCCCTCTCCCCCAAAAAAATTAAAAAAAAAAAAATTTACAAACAAAAATATATCCCCTCTGTCATGTGATTCTCGGACTCTCACTAGATATAATTAAAACTTTTTTACAGTGCTTTATCATTATATATCTTTAACAGGTTTTAACACGAAGGGGAAGCAGATTTTTAAGCCATAAAAATCTCTTCTGCTGATATCGCTACGTCAAAAAAAAAAAAAAAAAAAAAAAAAAAAAAAAAAAAAAAAAAAAAAAAAAAAAGAAAAAAGAGTGGTCCAGTTATTTGATGATTTAAGTCAAAACAAAAAGAGAGAGGGGGGAAAACAAATGGGCGGCGACGGTCAGTGTCAGGGGGAGCAAGCGCCGGCTCTCTCGATGTTTTTGTCCCCCAGGAGCACCTTATCACGGTGGCGTCGGCGTTAAGGTGGCGCTGGGAGGTGAAAGGCTCAGGTCTACTGCTTGGTGTTGAGCTCGTTCTCCAGCTCCATGAGTTTGCGAGAAGCCTTGACCTTGTTGGAAACCTCCTTCCCCTGAGAGAAGAGGCGCTGGCGCTCCTTGAAGGTCAGACTCTCCGGAGCATCGCTGGGGATCGAGTTCTCCTGCTCTTGACTGCAAAATTAAGATTAAAACCAGAAACTTACCAGAAGAAATAATGCAGGTTTATTATAATTGAGCACCAACTTGACTTTTTCCTCCAAAATAAAAATGATAATTTACAAAATAAACATCCTTTTTTATTTAACGACTCAAAAATAGTAACTGAGACCATAAACTCACCAGGGGAGCGTTTACTGAGACATTAAGTCAAGTGACAAGTAGGTGTCTTTTCTTTTTAGAGCAGGAGGAGTTGCCCCCTGCTGGCCATTAGGAATAATTCATTTTTAAGGCACTTAAACCTAAATTATCTGTAGTTTAAGGCAAAATGGATGTAGACTGCTACAACAGAGGCAACCACCCATGACTAAAAGTGGCAAAGAAAGAAAAAAAAAAAAAAAAACCCACAACAGAGCTCACCTCCTCGTCCATTTGTCTCTCGGGTCCTTGTAGACTTCTCCTGTTCCTACAACTCCTGATGAGTTTCCAGTGTACGAGTTAAATCCTGCTAGATGTTCATGAGCCACACAGCACAAAGACAAGAGCAGCAAGACACGAGTTAGCATCGCTTATGTGCAGCTTGTGATTAACCAAAAATCATCTGCAACAGAAGCTGCTGGGAGACAGTTCGGAAGATCTCTGATATCAATTATCAGTGACGACAACTACACATAGTGAGTGCACTTGGAAATGCTTTAAGTCAAACTGAATCGACAGCAGACCAGAGACCCCAGTGACCATTACCCAGCAGCTTCTCCAGTCATTATCACTTCATTTCCCACAGACCAGCCTAAGCAGAAAGGAGGAAAGAAAAGAGAGCGAGTTGTGGAGAAGCATTAGACAAAAACCTCAGATCTCATTAAACTAGAGCAGCGAGCAGAGAGAGAAACACAGCAGTAAAGTAAAAAGCAGTTAAAGAGCCATTCCCAAGCAGCAACAATGGTCTGTGGAAGTGTCAGGTGGGCTCTGAGGTTGAGGTCACCGCTAAACATGTCCGAACCAATTCTGTTACTATCTAAATCCAGTAGTGCTTAAACTCGGCGTATCTTCAGAAAAATGAAGAAGGGCTCCCAAAGAAGCCAGGTGAACAAACATGAAGAGGGTGACCGCGACCTTTAACCCCAAGTGAGACGTTAGTCAGTTGTTTTACGCATTCCTGTGTCTTTCCAAACTGTAGCAACATCAACAGCTTAACGAAGGTAAAGCTTCGTAAAACCATCGCAGGATCCTATGAGCCAGGAGTCTGAGACTTGTTTCCAGCACACAAAAAGTTCCTTCCTGCTGGCTATAGAAGTGTTAATGGTTTACTTTCAATAAAGACCAAAACCGACAGTGCTGATATTAAAACTTCAGAAGTATTTGAACTTTCTCTTTTATTTGCTTGTTTACTTCCCTTTGGTTGTTAAAATGACCATTGCTCACTTCAGCTCCAAAACACAAAGATCCCGGGCAAAGTTTGATCACTGACACCCAATTACATCTTCTCTGGCCAACACGGCTGCATTGGAGCCGGACAGGAAGAAAAACAGACTTCTAATTCTGACTAAGGTTCTTTTTTAAAAACACATCGGCCCAGATGTGTTGGAGCTTGCTGGCCACTTTCAGACTGGATGCTGGTGCAGATTCCCGCTTCCTTCCTGAAGCTGTTTGCAGATCTACTGCCTCCAACTGGTGACCAACCCAGGGTTTGGTTTGTTTCTTTTTATAGATTTAGTCAAGTTTGCTACCACATAGAGGGCAAAAGATGGGATTTTTAACCATTTATCTATTAATTTTACCAAATCATAATTAACCAGAACTAATGACCAAAAGAGATACATCCACCACTTTTCAGTGGCGGATGTATCTCCCTAGCTACCTTCATTCGAGTAACTATTTGCTGTTTTGAGAAATACCTGCAAAGTGCTCTCTGGTAGGAACACAGTGGTCCAAACGCGTATTAATCCACCACTGAAAATAGTCCCCAATGGATGAACCATTTACAGCTTTTCCTGTAACATGTGCTGAAATAACTAAAGAACCCAGATACTTACAAAAGTATCCCGTATGACAGTGCCTGGCTGTTTTGTTTTCCCTTTTATAAATTGAGTATAAATTAGGAATTGTCTCAAACCAATTGCCTGTTCAAAATAGTCGACATTGTTTTGTTTTTCTTCTTTTTAAAGGCATTTACAAGAATACAGAATCATTTAAAAAATGCCCAGAAAGGCTGTTCTTTTCTGTTTTTAGCTGATAAAATGTTTCATTTCACTAGCTAAAACCAGCAAGCAGGAACTTGGAGAAATGTGGGATGATAAAACCTGGCAGACTCTCTTCGTGGCTCAGTATTTGGCACGTCATGCTAAGAGGAAACACTGGATCCACATGGTAAAGAGGATTTCTTCTCTTGTGTTCTGTGTACTGGTGAGGATAGTGGTTGAATCTCACTCAGGAAAAACCCACGAGTTAGACATTAAACATCCAGTCCCAACTCTACTTGGCTGCCTTTCCAAAGAGCACAACTGCAGTCTAGATGGATGTAAGGTTTCGTGTTTCAGGATGCAAATCAAAGGTTGGTACAGTTCAGACGCAGACACAGTGATGGGGTGTGAACCCCGATAGATTCATCCAGCTGGCAGCTCCCAGGCTTTTTACTTTGGGTTTTATTGAGCCAAAAGCAAGAGGGGGTGGGGGATCTGAAGTATAGTCTGGGACAGGATCAAACCGGGTCCCACTTCAGCCCACATAAATACAAACTGGCAGAGAACAAAGCAACCACAGAGAAACAAGCCTCATTCAAGGCCAGAAACATTCCTCTGTGCAGCCAAAAGAGATGAAAATTATACTTCTGGCACTACAATAGAAAATTCTTCACATTCACATGAAAAAAGTCATCCACTGGCCTGTGATTGATTCTCAAAGGTTATGAATGTTTTTCTTTTACTCTGGCTCGGTTATCTTGGAGGCCAAAGGACGCCCGTTTAAATTGCTGTTTTGTTTCCCGGCTCTGGTACACATCTTTCTGTTTGAGCATCGCTCACTGTGGATAACTGAACTCGTCCTTCCTCTGCAGCTTTCTCCGGTTCGTGCACCTTTGAGGCAAACTGGCATCTGTATTGTTTTTCCTGTGGTTTCAATCTTGATTACACAAAAATACCTCTAACCCAAGAAGAGGCCACACTTTATTAAAGTGAGACTCAAACCTCTAGGAGCTGCCAGCTGATCAAATAACACACATCAAATACAGTTTCATATTGGCAGGGAAGCTGGAGACTCAGGTGCTGTTTGTTCACCTGAACCTGCCGCAAAGCCCTGTGGGAGTTGTAATAAGGTTTTAGTAAATAAAGCCGCAGCGTTAGACAGCACTGAAGCTACAGCAGAGACACAGACTGACAGGCGAGATGACAGAAATTAAACAAAAGCTGATACGAGGAGGGAAAATTAGGCACTTCTGGGACAGCAAATTAAGAGAGAGTCCAAAACAGAGACACGCAAAGTGGGGAAGAGCAGCAAAGAATAAATAAGGAAATAAATACAGACTGCAGCCTGGTGGAAGCTATGCACAGGCAGTAAAAAGCAATAGAAATCAAGCCGGTTACTGGGGTGAGCTGCTGGCAGCCAAAGTGCACTGTTTGCTGTGTGTTTATGCACAATGTGTTTGACTGTGAGGTGAAACGTGCAGATTTTACTCCCGAGGGAGGGGGGAGGGGGTGTTTGGGTGAGGTAGGTTGTTGGGGGTGGGGGGTGTTAGTGGGATGATTTTGTTTAATTTAAGTGAGATTGCAGCACAGAATTCCCATGAGGTCCTGGATGTGTTTTGATCTTTAATATAAGCAGCAGCAGTGGCGATGGAGGTGGTTTTGTGTTAAAGGTGCAGGCGGCCTCCTGGACCTCAGGTGCTGCTTAAACTCAGACTGTGCTGCAGTCAAAGCTCTGTTTGTCTATGGATGTTCAAACTGCTCAAATTGACAGCATCACAAAGGGATCGTTATGTCTACTCATCACCGAGTCATCTGTCTTTTTTCAGGCCAACACAATGCCTAGTTTAGGTACTTACTAGATTTTTGGGAACCTTACTTTATGAAAAATGAAAAATACTAACAGAAGATGCTAAAAACCTGATGAATCTGTGATACCAATACTATGGAAATAACTCACTTACTACCACATATGTACCGGGGTCAAAACCTCAATTTATCAGTTGTAGGTTTTTTTGACTGAGTTGCTTTTTACATGTGACAAGAAAAAAAATCCACTTTAGTCCCCAATTTAGTTTATTTTTTTTTATTTTGGGGACTTTTTTGTTCTTTTAAACTAAAAGAGGATCAAAAACCTAAAGGGTTTACCTTGCTTTGTTTTTTCTCTTCAACTCTAAACTGGATCATCATTTACAAAACAATCATCTTTTATTAAGTAAATCTAATAACTGACCATAAAGTCATTAGGAAATTGCTTAGCGAGGTCATCTTCTCAGGCTAGCTTCCAAGCTGGCTTGTTTACTCGCCGCCTGCTGGTCATTAGAAAGAATGCGTGTTTAAGGCTCAGCAGGTTTCCCATTTCCATCGCGGAGCCCTGCGTTTATCTTTTACACGAGCTCTATCAAAGGGATAGGGAATAAATAAAATTCTGGGTGTAATTTTTGTGGGAACACAAAACTTCCAAACAGCTTGATCTCTTTCAAACAATGAAGAAGAGATGCCCATCTTGAAATAATATCTGACATGGATAAATCCACATTTGGACTGCGTTAAAGACTATTTTAACCTCTCGATAAAAAAAAAAAGCGGCAGCCTGATCATGAACCTCTAGAATTTATGACGCTCCGTCATAAATTCTGACAGTCTACTCAGACCGTCAGTGTGGTCTGAGTAGACTGAGCTATAGAGAAGGAAAACGAGCCGTTTAAACAGACACAGACAAAGAGGAGCTCCTTCACTCAACACACTGCTGCCGTGTGCAGTTTTTGCATGTTTATGAAATGATTCTGCTCAATTGAGTGATTGATGGGTGTGAGAAGCCAATGGTGTGTCTCCTTCCCTTTAAAGCCAACACCGCTAAGCAGAGCCACGGGGCAGGACGGGGGGGGCGGGGGGTGGGGAAGACGGGCAGGCAGGCAGGCAGACTGACGGCTGGCCTTTACCCCCGCCCCCCAACCCAAATTCCCAAGCAGCAACCAACCAGACACAAAGGAGGCGGCGAGCGACAACACCAACAGTACTATGATTGGCTCTGATGGGTCTCAATCTGCAGCAAAAAGTGGTGGCGTGATTATCGATTGCTTTTTTCTGTTCACTAGTGCTGATCGAAGGGGGTGGGGAGGGTGATTGGAGGAAGATGAGGACGGAGGGCGGGGGGAAAAAAATTACTGGGGGACAAGAGGTGTTCAAATAAACCTACAATGAAAAATATGAAACAAACAGAACCTGATTTGCTTGAGGAGGAAGAGAGGGGGGGGGGGGATTTCCACATATAAAAACTAACACAGTGATGAATCGACGACAAAAAAAAGGAAAAAACAAATAAATTTGGACAAACATGTAAAAGAGGAAAAAAGTAGACGGTGGAAGTGAAAGGGCACAACACCTCTCTACTGAAAACAAGATAAACCAAGAAGAAAGTAGCACTAAACCATAAAGGAGTGGGTAGAAAATGAAGATGAGTGAGTGAGAGGGAGGGGCGGGCGCTTTAAAGGGCGCTGTGGCGAGCCTGACTCCTCTCTCCAGTTCTACCTTTATAGCCTCCTGGGGGCATGGAGCTCGGTTTGGCAGGAAGGGGGGGGGCTGTACTGTTGGAGTTGTTGACTGGCAGCTGGAACGAGCCAGACAGGAAGATGCCGTCAGAAAGAGGGCGGGGCTTGCGCGCAGTGGGCGGCGGCTGAGGCTTGCTGTGATTAGGCGAGGCGGAGGCCGGGAGGTCGCCGTACGACTTCCGGGTCGCCGACAGCTTCACCTGACCTGATTGGCCGCCGCCGCCACTCCCTGCTTTGGTGGAGTCCTCCTCGTCTTCGTCATCGCCCGTGTAGGTGACAAACTTGGCGGTGTAGAGCATGTCGGGGGAGGTGACCTGGGTTTTGAGGTAGGACGTGTTTCTCTGTGGTGGGGGTGGGGGGGTGTTAGTAGGGTTTTGGGGGGCGAGGGGTTGGTAATCCCGTGGAAGCGGGGGCCGATACAGACCGGCCGGCTCGTCAGGCGTCAGCAGCTTTCTCTCCGCCTCCTCGTGCTGCCGGCGCCGCTCGGCCTCCAGGCGAGCGTAGTACTCCTCCTCCTGTCTCCTCTAGGGGAGGGACAACCTGTTAGTAAGCGCCGCTCTCAATGGCTCACACCTAACACTAATCAGCTACGTGGGAAACTACTCAATGAGCTGCACTACTCTGCTTCTGCACAAGCAGCGCTCCACCAGTCTGATGAGACTCCCACCCAAACTCCAACTGAACCTGAACTACAGCCGCATGTAAGAACTGCAAAGTGCACCAAAACTAAACCGTACCAGCAGGTCAGGGGCATCGTTTCATAAGGTGTTCCAGCTGCATCTTAATGAATGACTCAGAAATACTGATGACATGTTTGAGGTGTAACAATTCTGAATCCGAGAACAAAAATGAAGCATCCCTGATTTAAGATCATCCACGGGACGAAAGAACTGGAAAATCGATAGAAAAAAAAGTGGCTCAAAAGTGGAAGTATGAGCCAAACTGATATTAAGAAGTGGGGGCAGAGCTCAGTTGCATAAAGGTACTGCCTCACACTTCAGTGCGTCCTCTGGGATATAAAAAAGTTTTATTAATAAACAACTATAACATTTATTTTCTCCTGTGTTTCTTATTAAAACAAATATACAAAAAAATACCTTAAATATAAAGTCATATAAACCTGCTTTGTGGTGCAAAGCAGACAAAATCACAAGCAAAAAACTCGACCAGCTGTGAACGTTTTAAGATTTACACTAATAAAAGTTTAAAATGGAAAAAGCTTTTTTTTTCCTCCATTTGTTTTATATAATTTATAAATCAGAGTAAGCAGCTCTCCAAGTTATCTACATGTAAACTTTTTAGGCTGCAAATGGGAGGTGTAATTAATAATCAAGCACAATTTCCCTTCAAGCATAAACAGGATAATGTGAGGTATGTAAAAAAAAAAAAAATGGTTGCAAGCTGTGAAAACAGTCCAGACGCGGCTGCTCTGGAACGAAGCATCTGATTACTGCTTTCATGAATGATTCATGTGTTTATTATTCATTTAAAATCTATTTAACTTGATTGAAATAACTTATAAAGTTTATGAAATGATACATAATTTCAGTTATTCAAATGTGACGTGTTTCCTCAGAGGCAAAAGTGGAATATTTTAAATACCTGCTTTTTCTGAAACCTACACATTTGAGGAGCTGGGTAACTCAAAAATAATAATAAAAAAGCATTAATTAACTAATAAGCTACTTTTTCAGAACTGATGTCAACAATCCATCCAAAAGGGAACGATTAACTTTATCTTTAAAATGTTATGATTAATGTGCTCTCAGTTTTAGGAACATAACCACATCTGCTTTCCCTTCCTACAGCTATTTCACAAAGCCAGCTTTTCTTTTTTTTTCTTTGATGATTTTTAAATCATCTTATTAGGTTTCAGAAAGATAAAAAAATAAAATAAAATCAGGGACCAACTTCAAGGCTGATGCCCCTGAGCTGGTCTCAATTCTGCTGGTTTCCTGTGTCTGTGAATGTACACTGATGCAGCTCGGCGGTCCTGAACGTCACGCCTGATGCATATGTTGCTCCACATCACTGCGAAAATCTAATATCGTGGTTTTTTTAATGCTGTCCATCAACTAAACCTGGGAAATCTCCTCCGACTGGTCTATGAAATCCGCTAACTTGACACAACGCTAAAAGTATCCAGCTTACCGCCGTCTCCTCTTCCCTCATCACTCTGTTTGTGTATGTGTGCTGGGTGTCCATGTGTGCTCAGTTTTCTGTGTGGCCCGGGTTTGTATTTTATGGTTTGTGGGTAGGTTTTTAAGTTTCCAGCCCACCCTGTCTCCAGTGGCTGAGCTCCAATATCTACACTAGGGGGTGGGAGGCCTGTGATGAAGCTTCACTGGTGAATGTGTTTAGATTTTGAGGTTTGGAGTGTGACCAGCCGCTCCGAGGTCACTCAATCTGGATGCTTCTTGTATCAGATTATCTTCACATTTTTTGGTCCGTTTCATGCGTTGAAGGCCTGCCGGGAGGAGGCTGAGGGGAGGGCTGAGTGTAGTTGTGATTGTACATGTCTTCAGAGAGACCATGCGCTGCTGTGGGTGTATCTGAGCCGCTATGGCCGGGTTCAGCCAGCCCAGTGGGAATCTGAAGAAACTGGGAGGGATTAGTGGATGTGTGGGGTTTGAATGAGTGAGCGGCTGGGTTTCTGAATATGTACAGTATGGATGGCTGAGGGCGGGTATGAGGCAGGTGGGCCGACACACTATGCGGTGCGTGTGTGTGTGTGCATGATGTGGGTATAAAGCATGTGGTTTTTGGGAAAAGTTGGAGGAGGGTGGGCAGCATTCCCCTAAACATAGTTTCCAAAGCAATGCTGGATGAAATGACAACAAAAAACAAAATTAAAAACCTCACAAAAAATAAATGAATCAAAACTGCTTCCCCAAAATAACTGAAACTTCCTGACGCACACTGACGATAACAACAACATGATGGGAGTCCCATGCTTCAGGTGGGTGGAGGCACATAACATGACACAGCAACACATCACATAGGGTGGGGGGGTGCACAGGATGAGGACATGCAACTGGACAACTTCATAATAAACATCAGAACAATCATAACAGCCTAAAAACAGTTTATTTATCTTAGAAAAACCTAAATATTCTCCTAATTAACATTTAATCAAATCCCTGAGATTTCTGGGATGCCTAAAGTTGAAATTGAACGGTAAAAATCTGAATAAATATGCGTGATATTTTTAAACAACCAGTGGTCTTATGGGTGGTTTGCAGCTCACAGGACAAATGGACCGCGCTAACGGTATCACAGTGAAATCAGCGGGCACGACACAAAGATAAAAAACAATGAGCATGTTTGATTAAACACGCACGACACATGTGGGTGGGTGAATGCTGCACCAAACCACTGGTCATTTAAAAATACAGCACATGTATTACATTTCATCTCTCATATTAACCTGAGTTACTAAGTGACATTGAAGCCTAAGCCAACAAAGGCATGAAAGTAAAAGCTTTGGGTAGTTTTCAGACTCATTCATCTGCTGCACATTTTACCGTTACAGTGAAGATTTAGTTTAAAAAGAAGCAAAGGTGCTTTTTTAGCAATTAATCCCACATTAAGTGTCCCATCTTGTCATCCATTCATTCGTTGCTTTTTTTTTTCTTTTTCTTGTATGTTCACGTATTACTAGTACTCTGACACAGATCTCACCTCACACTCTCGCTAACCCTGACCGCCAGTGAGAGGAAGCCCTTGTCCGTCGCTTGAATCCACGATCTCATTCTTTCAATCACTAACCCTCACCTGCCGCCACGAGCGGCAGGTAAGGGTTGCAAAATGACAGCTGCATTTCTCGCTCTGCTCTCTATTTCCCACAACAGCTTAAGTAACTAAAAAGCTCTTGCTTACAGAGGAAAACAGTTTGCTAAACGCCCACCAAACTGAGGCTAGATACAAAGGATTAATATATAAATAACTATAGTTTAACTTTATAGTAGGACTGATAAAATCCTATAATCTGCAATTTTAATTGCATTTATTAGACAGTTAAGCGTGCACCAGATAAAAGGGTCTGAATTCTTCCAAAGCATCTTCACATTCAGGGGTTAGACCGATATGATGGGCTGGTATAGTCTAAAATCTCTCTGAAATCAAGGTGTGAATGTACAAAGAATATAAAACGTAATTTATTTTTACCAAAGTGCAGGCTAAATATGCAAACAAACTGAATTGTAAACACAGTGGCCACATTTTAGCTTACATCGACAAGCTAGAAGAAAACGACATGCAACACTTTCAAATTAAAAGCCTTTTTCAGTAGGACTAAAAATGTTGTCATTTGCATCATCTGTGCTGTAAACACTTAACTGGTAACAGGGGAAACAGTTTGCCAGTATGTCTAAAAGTTTAGCACCTTTAAGTATAATCCAACAATCTGAATTAAAATTACATTCAATCTTATCAAATGCCAATATTTTGGTTCTTAACAGGAATTTTTGATGTTTAATGAGGATTTTTAAGGACCTTATTTCATATCATGCTAATAGCTCCTTGTTAGCATCACGTACTTTGGTTTTATTGTGTATTAGCAGCTGGCTGTTGCACCCTAACAGGGAAAAACATACTTTTTAAGACAAGAGAAAGCTGCATAATTTTGTAGATTTGGATATAATGTAATTACTGTTCAAATATCGGTCCAACCCCTCTGTCTGTGTGTGTGTGTGTGTGTGTGTGTGTGTAAACCTAATCTGTGCTACACCTGAAGCTCTGACTCAGTAATACTTTAATAAAGGCACAAAGCATTAATTTTAATCAGGTCAGAACTCCAGCGGTTTCAAGGACAGACACACCGACCTTCTCCTCGGCCTCCCGCTTGGCTCTCTCCTCCTCCCTCCACCTCCTCTCCTCCTCCTGCTTCGCCCGCTCCTCTGCCTCCCTCTTACGAATCTCCTCCAGCTGCTGCTTACGCCGCCGCTCCTCGTCCTGCAACTGGTCACACACACCCGCAGGGAACATGCCGCAAGGCACGCATGCAAATGAGGAAAGAAATTAGTACGCATGTCATTCACAGACACATAATCTGAGCACATTTTCTTTTGGATTTGTTCAACTGCACTAATATGTTTGTGTACAAATGTGAGGTAGAACTGTATTTGTCTCACAGGACTGCTCCTGGGGGGAGGAGCTGTGTGCACTGCAAACACACAGCACAGGCAGAAAGAAACAGACACGCACGCGCGCACTGCTAAACATGCACACACCGACATGCAGCGACAACGACAACAGCAGCAGCAGTAACAACAACCAGAAAAGGGCAGAGTGAAAAGCAAAGACAGCCCCTCCTTTGGCTACTTAAGGTGTACTTGATTTCGTTTACAGATCATTAAATGTCCCACTGAGCAGTAGAGGAATAATAAATCAAGCGTACCTGAAGTAACTGCAAGCTTAATGGGCTGCAGCAGAAATATTCCAAAAACCATCCCGACATAAACCAAGTGCAGCATGGCAACAAACGAAACAAACACACCCATTCTAGGGCTGGATGGTGGTCAGGTAAAGGGTCAGCTCAACCAAACGTTCGCGGTGGTATCTGTCCACAAAGAAGCTCCAATAAGGCTCCCTGTTTTCTCCTTTTCTAATTCTTAGTTGTATTTACACTGTAAAGGTTTTCCAGCAGATTTAAAGGCAATGCGGTCTTCCTTCTTTATTTTTGTTATTTGTTAATATTTGCCACTATTGCATTAGGGTAAATATGGTAACTACATCATTCTAGGTCATGAATGCTATGACCCTGGTTAAATAAAACTAAATCTGTCTATCAATCATTTAACCACAAAGTGATTTTCTGAAGCTGTAGTGTCTAAAAATGTCTGGAACCTGCAATATTGATAATTGCCAGTAGGGGGCAAGGCCTTTCCTGCAAAAACAATTGTATATAAGTCTACGAGAAATTGACCCTACTTTTGTTTCTTCTTTTACCCAATTAAACACTTTCCTGATGAGTTTGTGGTCTCAATGTGGTCTACAAAATCTGTTTATTTTGTAAACTAGGATCTAGTTTTAGAGTAAAAACTCTTGTTGTTAGCTTATTAGTTCTAACTCCATGTTCAAATATGAGTTGGACATGGAGTGTTTTTAAGCAAAAATGATGATCTAAAGCACAGGTGTTGAACTCCAGGCCTCAAGGGCCGGTGTCCTGCAGGTTTTAGATGTGTCCTTGATCCATCACAGCTGATTTAAATGGCTAAATGACCTCCTCAACATGTCTGGAAGTTCTCCAGAGGCCTGATAATGAACTAATAATTTGATTCAGGTGTGTTGACCCAGGGTGAGATCTAAAACCTGCAGGACACTGGCCCTTGAGACCTGGAGTTTGACTCTCCTAAAGGTTTCAAAATTGTACTTCACAAACTAATGGATCTGAGTCTCTGGGTGGCCAAGTCCATCTCTTATGTACATTTAATCAAGTAAAGCAAGAATTAGCTAGTCTAATAACTTGGTTGAACAGACCCAATACAGAGAAGACAAAGAGGCTCAGCAGGTCACACACAAATGGATGGATGGGTAGACAGACGAATGGATTCATGACCACCACGACAACATGATGTGGCCCTTCGCAGGCAGCGCAGGGGGCTCGCAGGACTGTCATGCATTGGTCTCGACCCGGATGCCCCCCATGATGCATTCAGCCATGCAGGCACCACCTCAATATGTACTCAAAACATCACTGCTGAAAAGAATCACACCAACCGCAGCTCTGCTAATCTGAAAGCATGGACAGGTTTGGTTTGCAGTTATCAAACACCAATATTTAAGCAGCAGCTTCGTTCACCGTCCCCCAGCAGGTGTTTTGAGTTGACAAAGAGATGGACAGCTTCCCCAGCCAAACAACATCAAGCATCCCAGGACCAACTGCTCGTTAGCTAATCATGGCCCAGTCCCGTCTACCACCACGACCCCCGATGAAACGACAACAGCAAGCCCAGATGGGTAGGGAGAGACACGGGCAGGTGGGAAGCCCAGACAGGAAACAGGAAGTGATGTAAGGGCAGGGAGAAGATACTCGTCATTAACAGGATGAACATACCAAGTCTAGAACAGAGATAGCTGGGACAGCAGTCTGCTGCTGAAGAGGAAGAAGAAGAAGAAGAGAATAGAGAGTGAGAGAGGGAGGGGAGATAGTTGGAGGAGGAAATACCCAAATACTGAAAAGGAAGGTGTGGAGGAGTTAAGACTAGATTAGAAAATCAAGGAAGGAACTAAAGAGTAAAACAGAGATAAGAGAAGAGCAGGGGAGGACATAGAATAAAGTGAAAACATTGTTTGGTCTTATTACTCTGTTGATGAGAAGCTTTTAAATCTAAAAACTACAGAGCTACATCTTTAACGTTGAGCTCATCATCCCATATTTTTCTCTTCAACTTTATCAATGAAGTCCAAGACGGGTCCAAGACGTTTTTACTTCTTAGAGAAAGTTTAATTTTGTGGTATTATCCATTTACTGTAAGCTGACTAAATGTCCACTTTTAGTCATGAAGACCTAAATAAACTAGACCCTGTTTACACTTGGCTTAAAAATACATTATGAACAATCTAACACAGGTGTAAATGACCACCGAGGAGCACTATCAAACCTTACTGGTGGTCTGGGACCCATTTCAGAACATACCTGTGGTAGTGTACATACTAATGCACACGTGGGGGGAAAAGTCAAACAAACCTCACTCAAACAACCACAAAGAGGCACAATTATCCCAAATCAGCAATAACTCCTTACTGCAGTGATGCACATTAGATGACTGGACAGCATTTAAATGGATTATTTTATGTTAGTAATACTGTCACAATAACCTCTAACCACGTTATCCAATGTTTTACCTTTTGCGTACTTTATCCAGTTCAGTATCGGCCCTTGGGAACAGTACTCATAGACAGTAAAAAAGATGGACTTACTTTGACCAACCACTGTGAACAGCTGGAAACGCCTGCACATTTCTATTAGTGTCTGAAATATGTTTCTGGTGTATATGAGCCTAAATTCCCTTCCTAAGCAGCCAAAAGTCCCCGATTTTAAAACCAAGTGTATACCAGTCTTCAAGATGAATAAAGTAGTTCAACAAAGAAAAAGAACACAGCAAACCAAAAACATAAAAAAATAAAATAATTCACACAGTGAACCAAACTGAGATTCATCCACAGCTACTAAAGACAACCACGTTCCACATCCTAAAATATCCAGTCAAAGTCTGGCAAAAGTCAGCTACAAAACAGTTACCTTCACTAGAGAGCTACTGGGAGGAACACACAGCAGATCTACACACGACCCGGAGGAATGCACAACTGATGTGTCTGAAAGGAAACCTAGAAAAGCACTTTCCTCCTGAGGTTTCAACACACACTCAGGGTCGTGCTGGATGACTCGGTGAATTCAAACACCCAGCATCATCTTCACCTTAAAAATACTGGATATTTGATATCCATTGTAGTGCAAGACCTGTGCTTAAATAATCAAAAGGCTGCACATGTGCAGCATTTGTTCAAAAAAAAGTCACATCCACGAGATGTGAAAGCAGCTTTAACGACGCTGCTGCCGCCTGCCCTCCCATCCACCCCTCCAGCCAATCAGATTTAAGCAGCTCAGCATGGCAAAGCGATGACAGAAGCATGTTGCAGATGCACATTGCAGGACATTCATAGTGGGAGCCATTTTCCCTTCTAGCATTTGAAAGGCGGTTCTGTTTTCCCCCCCATCAGCCCGATTTCCTGCGGCTCGCCCTGAAGTCTGAGCTGATGGGTAGTAACGCTTGAAAAACAGAAGTCAGAAAGTTTGATTTCTGCCAAAGCAGCCTTTGCACATGATACGATTTCGACTCCCTCCTTTTCTTTTTGTTAAGAAAAAAAAAAGCACCTTCCCTACTTCCTTCAAATGAAGAACTCATTTTTCCCCTTCAGTCATTTCCTTCCATTTCTTACCCTGGCTCTCTTCTCGGCCTCCAGCCTCTGCATGATCATCACGGTGTCCACGTCTTCATCATCCTCCTCGTCCTCCTCGTCGTCGCTCTGCTTGGACTCCTGCAGTCGTTTCTGGAACTGCCACTCCAGCATCAATTTCCTGAGGCGGTCGTTTTCTTCTGCTGTTCGCTCGGGCTTTGCCTGCAAAACAAAATGATGTTTAGAAACCGAAGTCGTCTTACCGGAAAAAGCCACAAGGTCATCTAAGTATACCTGATATCCAAAAGTACAGTACTCATCAGTCTTTGGAGCATTTGTCAATCTGAAAGGTGTTACAGTATACTGTAGGATGGGCATCACAAAGATTTCAGACGCACAATCAGAACGGGGCACTGGCCAGTAGCTTTTACAGAAATCCAGCTTTATGTATTTGGTTAAACCCTGCTCTATCCACGCATAGATGCAGGAGTGGAAAGAGTGTGAAATATATAACCTCTCTAATAATCATATCTTTTACACTTTTGTGTGATACAACATTTACACCCTGCACCTACCACTTGATATCAATATCTGGTAAACCATTTCTAACAATATCTGACCTAATTACTTTCTTTTGAATGATCTTAACTGGTTTTTACCATTAAATATTTCCTACTTGAGGCAAGAAGATAAAATAACAGTTTGCATAGGAGTTCTGGTCATACTCTTCCACAATATCCTCATAATGTCAAGTCGATCACATTAATTCTGCTACTTCCTTCTAAAACATGATCTCTGATTTCAAATCACTCCTCCCACTGTTGTGAACAAAAGTACCTGCAGCTCCTGGATTTCCTTGTCCAGCAGATCCACGATGTGAAGCTGCTGCTGTTTTTCGGCCTTCTCTCGGGCATCTCTCTTCCAAGGATCTGGAGACAGACTGTCGCTGGACGTCAGCTCCTCCTTGCTGATGGTGATGTACTGCAGGTCTCGCCTCTCGATGGTTCGCGGCTGCTGCTGTGGAAGCAGCTCCCTGATCACTGTATCCATGCCTGCAGGCATGTTGAATACTAGTTATTACAGAGACAAGACTGGTTTGTTTGTTTAAACAAGAAGTAACTAATACATTTCTTGTTACCAGCAGGGTTGGAGGCACTAGCAGGAGGAGGTACAGCAGACCGTGGCAGACTGGCCAGCTTCTCTGGTCTGGGTGGAGGAGGCTGAGGCTGTGGGGGGTGGTAAGGCTGAGGTGGAGCCATGGAGGCCACAGGGGGCTGGTGGTGAGGAGGAGGCATGGCTCCTCCGTTGTGAGGCTGGACGGGCATGACAGGGTTGGCCCGGATCTGACCCAACTTCCTCTCCTGCTCCCTCCTCTTCCTCTCCCTGGAAATGCATCAATATCATGGTCATTAATACTCAAAATCAGATGCATAAATGAAGCAGTATGACATCACCTTGTTTTTTTTAATTGAAAAATGGGAATCCTGTACTAACACTTTTTTGCTTTTAGAGAAAGTGCCATTTAAAAGGGTGACTTGGCCAAGGTCTTAAAATGCAACAAGCATAAAACAGGCAGAATATACATTATTATATATAAACAAACACTAATGCATTCCTCTTTTAAGATCATATTTGGTTTAGATCTTTCTGCAAAGTATTCCACATTCAAGGTTCTGTACAACGAGGGCACATTAAGACAAAACTACCTACTGAAGCGTTGTTGGTAACTAGACAGAAGGGTGCAGAGTTCATTTACTCCAAATGTAAAGAAGTGCAGCGTATGCTGATGATGCAGCAATCTCTGTATCAGCAAAGACTAAACAACACGTTGAAGAGTTACATACATTACTTTATTTGCATTTTATTTTTAAAGCATAAATGCTTGTCTATATCTTCCCTCAGAAATAATAAATAGCAAGCCAGATATAGTAAATAATAAATAACAAAGATGCTTTTTTGCTAACATTTCAATAAACAAAACAAAACAAGCCCACCTCTCTTCCTCGAGCCGAGCCTTCTCCTTCTCATACCAGCGCTGCTGCTCCTCTCTCTTCTTGCGGTCAGCAGCTTGCTGAGCCGTTACTGGATTGATAGCAGCTGGAGGGGGCGGAAGCGGTAGGTCCGGCTGTGGGTCGTAGGGTTCGGGGTACACTGCTGGAGGTGGAGGTGGAGGAGGGGGCAGGTCAGACCGAGACGGCGGCTGTGCCGAATGCGGCGGCACGGCGTGAGGGGCGTTGGGCGTCTTCCATCTGCCCGGGCCGGTCTTCTGGTTTTGGGTCTTGTTCGAAGAAGAGGAGGACGCGGAGAAGTTGAGATGCTCCTGGCTTGATGTTGATGACTCCAGGGAGGAGGACACCTGCGGCTGTGGAGCCCAGAGGTCGGGCCCTACCAGACCTGCAGACACAAAGAAACACATGGTCACCTGCTTGACCAGGGACACCAACCGCACTTGCATTCAATACTCCATGAAAAACCAGTACCTCTGAACCCTCTTAGCCTAAAAAGGAATTTTATCACTAATGTTGGCACAATACTTTAGTACTAATCAGCTTTCTGAAGAAAGATGGAGGCTTGGTGATGGTAAAACTACAGAGTTTTTTTTCCTGGGCATCTGCAGTCCAAAACATCAGATTTTTATATTTATTTTTAAAGTGAAATAACTTACAACTTAGTTATTATTATTTATTTTCATCTGATGAATGTCAGAAATGACAGCACGTCTGATTTGCTATGCTTTTGCAAATTATCCTTGCTCTGGTCCTTGAATTTAATATCATGATTTGTGTGTTTTTATGTAATTGTGAAGGATAATCAACTTTTAAGGGACATTTGGATGCTGACAGCCTTTAAGCTGCTGTATAATCTGGTAGTGAACACACTAACAGGTGCTGCGGTCCTTTTTCTGTCAGCCTCTCTGATCCGATCTGAAGTCAGCTTTTCCTTCTTACCTCCAGGTGGACCTCTCTGGTATTCGAGATCTCTGTGTGGGTAGTCCAGGTCCCGGTGCTGGTAGTGTGGCTGCATTCGCTCATCTGGCCTCATGCCTCCTGGTGGTGGATACAAGTCCTCCTGAGAGTGATTAATCCGCTGCAAAGCAATCAAAACATTAAATATTAGATGAGGAAAAGTATGAATTATAAAAGGAGAGAGGAGGTGGTGGTTGGAAGCACAAATAATCAATATCACCTCAATCACCTACTTATTACATTCCCAAGTTTACCTTAGAGGTTATTATGTAGGCTCTAGTTTGTCTGTTCTATTGTGTTATCTTAAATTGCTTTGTATTTCTAATGTTTAAATATGTTTTTCATGCCTGTGACGCTTTTTAAGCCTTTGCATATGCAGCTATAACCACGATGACTCATAGGAGATGGAACAAACGATGCTCAAAACTGGGAGGACGAAGATGAGAGGAGCTCACAGCCAGAAAAGGATGGAGAAGGAGATGATGATTGGCTTGTCAGCACCATCAAGCTGATGTCTTCAAACATTTCTGTGTCACCAAAATGTGATTTGGAAAAACACATTGATGAAAAATAAAACTTTCCTAATCTTTTTGGGTCTCAGAGAGCGTTGTAACACCCAGAAAAACAGTATCTGAAAAGTATCTCAAGCTTCTGTACCTGCATGCTGTTGTTGTGGATGTTATCGCCCATGGGGAGGCGATCTCTGTCCTCCATACCCTGCCAGTGTGGTGGGGGCCCCTGCTGCCCTGGTCCCACCACCCGATCCTGGCTCTTGGAGGCTGGGATGGTGAAGTACTCCCTGGGATATGTCTGAGTTGGGATGGGGTAGGCTTCTGGGCGGGGAGGGGAGGGCTCATCCTGAGGAACAAAAAACAAGCGTGTGAAAAAAAACAAAATATTTTGAGATGGTTTTCCAGGAATAAACAAGACTAAGCCATAAACCTGATAAATGATTTCTCATCTCTGCTCAACATACTGAGGGTGCTCAAATGTTGTGTCACTCTGCTGTTACATTTCCCATAAGGGTAAGGATTCAGTCTGATGGTTACTTACGTCTGCACACAGGTTCCCGGTGGAGACAGAGGTGATCTTGGTGCCAGGTCCTCCGGGGTACACTGATTTGTTTGCAGGACTCTGGCTCTGATCTGAAGCAGAGGCAGGAAAAAACGTTGCTTTAGTGCAGTAACAAAAACAAAAAGTCTCAGCAATACACAATTACTGAGGAACAGAAGAATGAAAATGGTTGCTGAAAATATTTTCTTTTCTTCTGAATATAAATATTTTTCCAGCAGCAGGAAAACTGGCTGCCACTGTTTCTAAATCAGGGTGGAGCAGCTACAGAATAACATGAGGGTGGTTTTATTTTTTTTCCTATTTCCTTTACTGCCCACACCAAACGTTGTTGACCAGAGATGGCTCAATGGATCAATGGTTTTATTTATTTTTTTGCATTATAAGTGAACTATGAATGATTTTATGCTCTCCTCTTAATTGATTGAGCCATTTGGTTTCTGTTTCATATTTTAATTTATGGTACTGACCTTTTGCCCTTTAGACTACTTTGTTACAGATATTTTACATGCTGTAAAAGGAAATTCCCAGCTTGTAGCATAAATTACATATACTTTGTTGGGATGTGAAATACCATGAAAGGAAGATTTCAAACATAGTAAAGAACAATAATTCTTTTTAATATACTTCATCTGTTTAAACTGTATTAAAGCTTAAAGTTATGTATTATTAGTGATGTGGCTGCTTTGAGTGACAGGTGGGTGCCGACACTGTGCACTTGGCTTTACCTGCAACAATTCAAGCTAAGTTTTAAATGTGCTATATAAATAAAACTGACTTTATTAGGTATCCATGTACACATGGAAAGTTTGCTATCGTTGATAATTGAGCAGCCCAAGCTCTTAACCAAATATGACCATATCCGATTCCAAAACAGACAACACTGTGACAGCAAACATGGCCAACTAAAGGCTTTAAAACAATGCGCGACATCACAGTGGGTACATCCTTCTTAAATATACAGTCTGTAAACCAAATAAGTAGGAAGGGTTTCATTATTTTGTGCAGAACTAAAGTTAAAGTTCACGTTATATTTGTGGCGGAACAACAGGAATTATTAAAACGACACTATAATAAATAATTAATAAGCAGCTTTCTTACTGGCTACGTTGGGGCTGGAGCGGTGGTCGGCTCGGTTCTTCAGGAGCCGGTCTTCTCCGCTCATCTTCTTTGGCTCGGGGTAAGAGTCCCAGCCGGGCTGCGGGCTCTCTGGAGAGCCGTTCTGCACCGAGCTGTTGTAGAGCTCGAAGCCTTCACTCTTTGGTCGCATTTTCCCGTTCTTCTCACGGCCTCGGTCTGACGCTGGAGGTGAAAGAAGAAACAGGAGCAGAGGAAAACAGTTAAAAAAAAGAAAAGTGAATCTTTGTGTTGCTGCAGTTTGTCAGCCTTTGTTCTAGTCAAGCTTGTGTTTGGGCCCAACTGATTTCACCTCTTTGGAGTCGTTTGTTGTCTCAGACCATTTTAAACACACATCAAAGTGCTGATCTCCTGCTGGGGCATCTGTAATTGTGACTGAAGCTAATTTAAAGGCATTTAAGTGTGTTTTAAACATAGGTTCATATAAAATCCATACAGCACAGCTACCAATTTGTTTCTTCTTCTGGCTTCACGCCATCGTTCTGTGAGAATCTACACTCCTGCTCAGCTTGTCCAGTTTCCTGTAACTAAAGACCGTCCTTCGACGTCTGCTTGTTAAACGTCTCTGTCAGCGGTGCAAGAGTCTGCGGTTGAGGGAATTTGGGAGAAACACGCCTTTATCGTCATCGTGGACCACAGACTGGCCCGGCCAGAACGCTTCCTTAATGAATCTGGGGTCACCGCTCAAGCAGACAAAGACCAGCGCAAAGCCAGACAACCCTGTAAACTCTGCCATGCATGTGTGTCTGCACACACACACACAGCTGGCTCTGGCCACAAGCTCTCATTATATCCTCCAGTCTGCTAGCAGGATTTTTACTGTGCTGCAGAGAAGACAACAAGGACACACTGTCTGGACAAGCCTGCTTCTTTTCCATCATCCACAACACCAAATTACTGGCACACCCTTCAGTGGGACTAACAATAGTTCATTCATTACCACTTTTAAATACTTTAGAGAGCCGTGTTTGTGGCTGTTTTTAAATGCCTCTGAGGGTTGTTGATTGAGTTAATGAATTGTAACAGAGGTAGAAAAATGGCTTCATTATTTTTAAAACTCCTAATGATTTTATTCATTTTATTGCTGTTCATTTGTGTCTTACTACCAATCCTTTAAAAAAAGAGAAGAAAACAACCTTTGTATCTATTAGACACAAATATTACATTTATACCAAAATTAGAGAAAAATCAGCATGCGTGTGGAAAGGTTGAACCCAAGACAAGTTTTTACATCTATCTGTATAAATAATGGCTGAAATAGTTGAAGACAACCAACCAGAATTCAAAATGAATTCTCAGTTGATTTAATATTTGATTAATAAGCCATCAAAGTTATCAATAAGTCACAAAGATTTCCACAAATCATCAGCGCTTCCAAAATTACATCCAGAACCTTACACCAGAACTTTTAGTCATGAATAAAATCCTGCTTCTTGTGCTCACCTCTTGCCATCATTGGGCTCGGCTGGTTGAGGAGGGTGGCCAGTCCGTGGTAAATGGCTCCCTGCTTGGCGACTTCCAGAGTGACGACTGAGCCCGTCCTCGTCATCAGCTCTGCCGCCCTGAACAAGAGGGGGGAGCACACATTAGAGAGGGACACACTGAGCCAAGTTTCTTTGCAGCCCCTCCACAGCCCCACTCTGTGGGACAAACTTAGCCCAGTGTGGAGTCACAGTTGTGGCTGTCTAAGGGTTTTATAATTAAAAAATAGGGTAGAAAAACAACACTACACCATTTTCGGCAAACAGGAATTTATAATCTGCATCTGTGGCGATCCATACCACAATCAGATGAATTAAGATGTATACATACATTTAAATTTATATTTCATAGACAATTTAAATTTAAATTTCATAGACAAACTTCAACTGTGTGACTTGTGATTATGTTTAATTTGGCTTATTTAGTGGCAGTTTATCAAGTAGTCACATGCTTAGGAGCGGCAACCTTGATTACAGGTACCTGTTCACGTGGGAAGCGCAGCTGTAGTTTTGGTTTATGATCACCTTTTATGCTGATCGCTGTTTGTTTTTTGGATTACTTTAAACACTTCAGGGATTTAAAGCATGTCAGACAAGAAGACCTGACCTGTGTCTCTTTTTAGTTTGTTACTGAAGTTGCTATGGTTGGTTTCCTTGTATCCACGTGATAAATATAATCTGAATGTATTGTACTAACTTAAGGCATGGTGTTTTTTTTAGCTTCAAAAGTAAGAAACATGTCGAAGGCATTTTGGTTATGTAAGACAAAGCGGTTAAGATATGACACATATAGAAAAGAATGTGATTGTATAAGACTGAGACCACAGAGCGATGAGGTACTAACACGGGATGAGGACATGACTGGAAAAAATAAAAAAAATCAAAGTACCTTTTTTGGTAAAAGAACGTGTAGACAGACAAGGTTGTATCTAACACCCAGGTGGAGCTATAGAGGTTTATTCTAAGTTATTCTAAATTATAAAATAAAACCAATTTTCTTTCAGCTTCATCGTCAATATTGTTTCAAATATTATTAAAGTTTGTTAAAAAGGAGCAAATTCTCACAAGGTGTTTCATGTTTTGCCTGAAAAGTTCCTGAAATGTTGATTGAACTTCACTAAAACACAAATTTCATATCATGTAGACATAATGGTCTTAATAAGCTCATGCAGCAGAGCCTCCTGATGCTTGTTGGTCGAGCACATTGTTGTTGTTTTTTTTGTTCAAATAAATACATTTTGAGCGGGAAGTCTGGACAGCTCTGCAGCCCCTAGCACTGCTGTCAGTTAATAATGGGAATAACAACTGCCTTTACTATGAACCAGAGGAGGCAGGGATTATATTTGTCACTACCAGAGACACACTTCATTCCAACTTTGGCTCCAATGCTGATGTGTCACTCAGACACGCACGGGATGCCTGCTATTATCTGTTACATGTCCCTGTGTATGGAGCTTTAACCTAATCCTATAAATAGTTGTAGGGCAGAAGCTAACTGTTTGACTGGAAGTGATTCTGGGAATGTAACATCAGCCCCTTGGCGCTGAGGAGAAAACAGGCTCCAAATCCATATTTGGAAACATCATAGCTTTACATACACATCTATGTCTGACAGAAAGGGTAAAAATCCCTTCATCTCTACTTGCTGGGAGTTGAGATTACCACGCTATGATACCCTGACAAAAACTCGAAATCTAGAAAAATTAGTTAATTGCTTTAGCTGCTACCTGCACGCTAAAGCAATTAACTTAATTATCTGTTAATCCAGTTTGACTCTTTTTGTCACAATGCAGGTAACAACACTAAAAATCAAGCCTGTGCATGTCAAGCAAGAGGAATAACAGGATTAATCTGAATGGGGCGTTAGCCACCGCGTGCTCTGGTGCTGTTTCCAAAACACACACACAGACACACAGACACACAGACACACAGACACACACAGCCTTTTTCTGCTCGAGCTGCATGTTCCAGACGTGCTGGAAAATCCGTGTGTTTACAAGGACTAACGGGATGCAACGACCTCAGGATGTCTTAACCCTGAGGTCTCCGAGATGCGGTCTTCTGAAAAGTAAATTATCATGCTGACGTACCGCTGAATGTTTTCTGCTCTTAAAATAACATTAAATGTCAGTTTCATCATCTCGTGACCATAAATGCGTCACTACAGCGCGGTAGGTGGTTAAATATATAAAAAGAAAAACACTATTTACACCCTGCTGCTTCTTTGGGGTGAATCATCATCGGATGTCATAAAATTGTAATTATAATTTGCTCGTGTGTGCTCAGGATTTCCCAAATTATTTCTGTAGATTAAAAAATGTTCCTGTACAAGTTTCTCACCTCTCTTGCGATAGGCCGACTAGACTCCGCCCATCAACACTCAACAACTGGTCACCTGCCGCCAAACGACCATCCTGTGTAAACACAAACAGACGCACACTCACACATAATGATCACATCCTGATTCTTTCTCCTGTTTCCCGTCGTAGTTTTCATACTGACCATATCAGCTGCTCCGCCTTTGACAACAGACTTGATGTAGATGCCCAGCTTCTCCTGACCAGCACCCTGCAGAGAAAAACCAAACACAGTAAGCATAATGTTTAAAAACCTGCGGGTGAAAAAACGAATGGTTTTCATAAGTGCTTCAGTTTTTATCGAGTAACTCAATTCATTCCTAACACAAAAAGTAGACACATACAATTACCACAATTATTTACTCTAAGTAGGGAATAACTTTGAATGCTCAAACTGAGTAGAAAGGCCGTATACAAGTACTGGTCCATTTATAATTTTCATTTCAGCCGGTAATGGTTATAAGTTACGACTGGATCGGGTGATCCTGAACTCATTTGAGCTGCTACAGGCTCAAGCTGGGAGAAGCAACCTGCGGCTCTTTAGTCCTTATACTGCGACTCCACGTGGTTTGGGAAAATAAATTAGAAGTATTTAGCTGAAGTGTATTTTATTTATGTTAGTTCTTTCTTTTTTTTTAACTTGTAGTTCTAAATTGGAAGATTATTGTGATATTGAAATATAAAAATAAAATAATATTTTATTATTTTTTCATCGCTCAAAATAAGCGTCACACTCGCAGAAGCCGGTGTACCCGCTGAAACGCCGTGCATTTATCGAGACTTTCAACCCCAGATAGGCCAATTATGGATCTT